TAAGTAGCTCTAAGTGCACTAGAAAAAAAAATGAACAGGTAAAGGAGTAGAGAGTGGTGGAGGAGAGTGTCCCTATTTTAAGGAAGGTGTGAAGGAAATCCTCTCTCAGGTGAAGTTTGAGAATAGACACAAATGAAGTGGTATCTGGTGGAAGAGTGCCCTGGTTTTAAACATCATATAAAACGCCTGACTTTGGGAGCTCAGGGCTAACTCTGCTGCCACAGGAACTAGCATCTCAGCTTTAGTTTTTTCAAGGAGTCCAACTGTCTGAGGGGGTATGAAAAGACAGAAAAGTAGGAAATTCAAAATAAGCAGACTAAGCAGTGAAAAACAATAGAAATCTGTACATTCGAAATGCTTTTTAATCACCAAGAAAAGAACACAAAACAGAGAAGTGCCATTTTTTTCATACAGTCCCCCGTACTGAGGTCCACGGAAAGTATTGGGCATGACAGCACACTTGTTACAAGACAGGTTTGGACACTCATTGTAATTTGATTGGAACCCAGGTTCTACCACTCACTAGCTGCTTTTTTTTCTTTTTCTCCATTTTCCATTTTCATTTATTTTTTGTTGAGGTGCAATATACATATGTGATTTACTGTCTTTATCATTGTAATGTACAGTTCAGTGGCAATAAGTACATGTGGATTCTTTCTCCCCCTCATCCTCTGTCTCCTCCTCTCCTTCCTGGCCTCTAATTACTAGCTGTATTTTTTCTAACCTTTCAAGCTTTATTTTCCTCGTCAGTAGAGGGGGCACACTGATTCTCCCGCATGGGGTTTTAAGAATACAATGAGATGACGCATTTGATGTGCATAGTGCAATGCGAGGCACATATGTGAAGGGCCAAATTATGACATTTACAATATGTTAACATAACTATAAATGTATTATATGGCAGACATGTAATAAGATATAAACAATTAGGCTAATGAAAGCCTTATTTCATAACATGGCTTTAAAATAACTAGTCATTTCAAATTACTTCTATTTAGCTTATAAAAGAGCTTCTTATCATTGTAATCTCAATACTTTGAATGCTGTGTTTGCTGTAGTAAGATATAAGGCTATCACTGATCCAAATCTAGTAAAGCATGAATGCAATACCAAGGTCCACAACTGTGCCAGTAGTAATGGCAGGAAACCAAGGGACAGAGACTTCCCTATGTTTTGAAACCCACGGCAAGATATTCCTGCTTGTGATCCATGAAAAGGCATTTTGTCCAGGAAAAGTAAAATTTATTTAACAAATGTGCTTTCCCAGAAGCAGAGAGGAGTTCTTTCCTCTCTCCTCAGATCCTCAGCAATTGCCTCGGCTCAAACCACAAAGGTGCTCTATGAATGAAGAATTGCAACTGTGCTCTTCCGTAGAGGCTGCAAATGACGAAAGGAAATGAATGGCTCAGGGAGGGAAGCTCAGTACAAAGGGAGACACTGCCATTCCTGTAACACTCAATCACAGATGCCGCTAGCAGGATGCGGCATCACCGAGGGACCCCAGGCGTCTGGGTTCAAAGCCTGGTGAAGGAAAGGTCCCAGGCGCAACACAGGATTATTCGTCATTCTGACATCTAGAAGGAAAAGGGGTCAGCCAGACCGTAAAAGGCTGATGTTGTTGCCAGCTCCACTCATGTTCAAACCGTTAACATGTTCACGATCACAGTGGTCTTTCTTTATGGGGTGGGTGGAACACATTGTCGTATTTTATAGGTGGGAAAAATGGAGGTGCAAGAAGCACCTCTGTTAACAACAGGTGGAAAAATGACAAACCTAACCTCCCAGGATGAAGAAAGCTACACAGGCTTAGGTAACAGAGACCGAGCTGCTCATGTGTGCCAGGCACCACGTGGGTACGTTACACTCAGTACGTTATCATCTTTATGGAAACCCTGAGGTCAATGCTGGCATCATCTCCATTTCACAGATGAGGTAATCAAGACTATGAGGGTCGTTTAGCCACTGAGCAGCCTGTCTAAAGCTAGAGACTGTAATCTCAAATAGCTTCCAACTTTCCAGTCTAATCGGGGGTAATCTGTGGATTTAGGGAAGATGAGCAAATCTAAGAACTAGATAGAGAAAAATCCCTAGTAAGTTGCTGATATGAAAATAGGTGAAAGAGATTAAATAAAAGGTAGAAACAAGTAAAAGTTAAATATGTAAAGTGGGTTAGTGAAGGTTTTGATATAAGAAACAGCAACTAGGAAAAAGTAAAGTATATGATCCCATGAGAGGATATTAACATTTTAGTTATGGTGTCCATTTTCCCATGCAAGCTAGGATAGGAACTGTCTATCTGTGGGAGAATCTTAAATGACCCTCCACCGCCCACCCGGCATGGGAGTCACACACCTACCAAGCAATCGCGGCACACAGTGACGAAGGGCACATGAATGTTAAGTCTAGCGGGTAAATCTTGCAGTAGTGACTTCAACGCTCCCCTCTCCATACTGTGTTCGCCCATCGGGGATCCAGGCAACCCTTCCTTCTTTGATGTTTTGCCCATTAGACTATACGCTTCTTTTAGAGAAGGCGTTTACAAAACTTAATACTATCCCAACAGCAATTGCCCCACGGGGAATAACAGGACTGACTAGATGAGCATAATTACTTTGAAGCATTGGTGAGTCTGACTTAAGATGACTTCAGACTCTGGAGGTAAAAGAAGAGAACTCTTACTCCAGAGAGTTTTCATCAGGAATTTCATGGTGCAGAACTGATGAATGTCATTCAGTACTAGTGGACACTGACCGTAAGGTAGAAGACATAGGGTCTTCCTACTTGGAAGCAAAGGGATATTT